GGAGCGCACTGCCACGCCCGGCTGATTTTTTTTAATTTCTTGTAGAGATGAGGTCTCACCAAGTTGCCCAGGCGGGTCTCGAACCCGCGGGCTCAGGCAATCCACTCACCTTAGCCTCCCAAAGGCGTGAGATTACAGGCTGAGCCACCGAGCCCGGCTACCATCCTGGTACATTTTTATGCATGCATGAGGTTCTTTGGTTTGAGCTCTTTTACCACACTGACCAATGAACTTCAACTTCTCAATCTGTTAAATAGGGAAGTACCCCTTCTTACAGAAAGGACATATTATGTAAATATAAGGTAAAATATCTGTAGGTCCCAAGTTTGGCTGAAAAGTAGTGTATTATAAACAGCTGGTTACTGACTTTGCGTTGGTTGATCAAATCTTTCAAGAGAGAGACCAGGAGCATGGAGTTGTTGAATGGGTGGGTCCTTAATTACATAGCACGTTACATTTTTACAGGCATGTGGGGAGAGCTTCGTAGTGAATGATCCACACGCAAAGCAATCTGATCTTAGCAACTTTATTGGATACAGGTAGCTGAGTAGGGCACCCAGAGGTTAAATGGGTTGACGGAGACCACCTAACAAGTGTGTGGTTGAGTCAGATTTAGAACCCAGTTCTAATTAGCTCCAGTTTTTGCTAGAACAAACCACATTGCATTCACACACTGGTTTTACTCAGTTCACTCTGTCAGAGGAAGGTATCCTTTTTATTTTGACCTGTCTGAACATGTTATTATTATTTTAAATTTAGTTAATTTCAAAACCAAGTGAGGCAAGCTAGGAAGATTGTGAAGGTCAAACTTGACATAAGACCCTTGTACTGTAATGAATTCAAGTGCACTAGGGCCCAGGGAAAAGATGGAATTTCAAAAAGATTATGGTTAGAAAACAGAGCCTGGAAGGATAAAGACGTAGAGATTATTTAGCAGGGTAAGGAAGGAAGGCTCGGTGCCTGCTGTCAAGTAGCTCAGAGTATAGAGTGGGGTCTAGCATTGGCCAGTCCTTTCAGTACAACGTGCCAAGCCCAGGGTGTTGTGAGAGCCTGAGCAATTTGGAAAGTGCCTCAACTTGGGCAAAAGCATGAGGGAGTAAAATGCAAAGGCAAGTGTCTTGGTCAAGAGCTACAAATTGGAGAGGTGGACAGGTCATGAGCGGCCATAAGCACCATGCGAAGGGATAACAACGCATTCATTCACCATGTGTCTTTTTAGTGCCTTTTGTGTGTGTTTGCTGTGCGCTATTCCATAGACTTGGGATACGTTAGTGAACACAAAGAACACATATCCCTGGACTTGCAAACCTATATTTTGGTAGAGAGAGACAAATGCTAAACGTTAAATAAGTAAGTCAATTAACGGGTATGTTTAAAGATGGTAAATGCTTAATGTAGAAGGGTACCTCAAGCTTGGTGACCAAGCTTGACATGAGCAATAGAACTCATGTTAGTAGTATGATGCCCTTGATGTGATGAGAATGGCACTTTATCTCTGTGGTCTCCCTCTTAAAAATGTATAGCCCTGGTCCAAGCATAAGAAAAACAAAACAAATCTTAAACGAGGGACATTCTTTAAGATTCCTGACCCATGTTCCTCAAAACTGTCAAGGTCATCAAAAACAAAGTCTGAGAAACCGTCCCAGCCAAGAGGAGCTAAAGAAACATGACAACTACATGTCATGTGGTATCCTGTATAGGATCCTGGAACAGATAAAGGGACGTTAGGAAGAAGTTGAAAAAACCCGAATAAAGCATGGCCTTTAGTTCATAATAATGTATCAGTATTGGTTCATTAATTGTGACAAGCGTGCCATCCTAATGTAAGATATTGCTTAGGAGAAACTGAATGTGGGTATACAGGAAGTCTCTGTACTGTTTTTTTAGTAACTTTGTAGATGTAAGATTGTTCTAAAGTGAAAAGTTTGTTTTTGAGAAAACAGTACAGGAGATCAAGAGTCCAGGGCAAAAATGCATGTTATAATTGTAAAGAGGGTGACCAGAGTAGGCCTACTGAGAAGGGGCTATGGCCAGGCTCGGTGACTCAGCCTGTAATCCCAGCACTTTGTTAGGCTGAGGTGAGTGAATTGCCTGAGCCCGCAGGTTTGAGACCAGCCCAGGCAACTTTGGCTAGATCTCGTCTCTACAATAAATCAAAAATGAGCTGGATGTGGTAGCACACGCCTGTAGTTTCAGCTACTTGGAAGGTTGAGGTGGAAGGATCACCGGAGCCCAGTAGGTTGACGCTGGGATGGCCGTGAGTGTGCCACTGCACTCTAGCCTGGGCGATGGAGTGAGACTCCCACACACACACACACACACACACACACACACACACACACACACACACACACACAAAGTGGGGGGGGTATGGACAGTTTCTTCCAGGAAGAATTGGCTACAGTGGCATCTGGGGAAACAGCAAATGCAAAGACCCGGAGACAAGACTCGACTGCATGTTTGAGAATAGTGCGAAAGTGCTCATGGGACTGCTTAATTTCTCTGGGCTTCGGTGTCTTCTGTGGAATGCTGGGGTTGAAAGGATGATCTCAAAGGTTGCTTCCTTGTCTAACAGTTACCACATGGTCTTAGACCATGGGATAGAAATATTCCATCAGCCTAGAGTGCTGGCCGGCAGTGGTTATGTGCTTCTAACCAGCCTGCAAATACCCAAGCCGAGAGCACAGAAAGATTATTTCTAGGCATTTTGATAAAGCAAAGAAGGGAGAGAAGCAGTTACTGCGGAGGTGTCTCCTCTCTCTGTAGCATGGTTACAGACTGAATTTGAAATGCTGAGGGAGGAAGGGAGTCTCCCTCGTCTCAGATGAGTGCGTCACTGCTCTGCATCTTGATGCCTCTTTTGCAAAATAAGGAACTCTACTTTGCTCATGTTCATTTGAATTTTAGTAAAGAATGAACTAAAAGTTTTAAGATTTATTGCATCTGTGTCTATATGCATATTCAGATATGTGTATATATTATGTGTGTGTGTGTGTGTGTGTGTGTGTGTATTTCTCGGTCTCTGGTATACAAGATGAAATTGAAAAAAAATCCAAAGTTTAAAAATCACAGAAGTACTAAAACCTTGCTACACAATTCAAGAGACTGAAGGTTTAACTTGAGACTCAGAAAAAAAAGACCTGTTTTCAGTTAGAAAAATTTTATAACTGATGTTTGTCTCTGAAAGTATATCTGTGCCTTGCTTCATGATGTACTAACATAATAAATGTTAACATATTTAAAAATAGACAAATTCATAGTAATTATCACTTTACAAGAGGGTCTGTAGGGTTCCTATGAACTGTAGACCTCCTTGATATATCTATAATAAAGGTTTGTATATATGAATTTAATTTACATATGTTAAGCCATGTAGATTGGTGCTGTTTATTTACGTCATTTTTTTTTTTTTTTTTTTAATTTTTTGAGTAGGAGTCTTACTCTGTCTCCCAGACTGGAGTGCAGTGGCATGTTCATGGCCACCGCAGCCTCAACCTGCTGGGTTCAGGTGATCCTTCTGCTTCAGACTCTCGAGGAGCTGAACTACAGGCACATACCGCCATGCCTGGCTAGTTTTTTGGTTTTTTGATTTATTGTAGGGATGAGGTCTCTTCAAGTTGCCCAGGCTGGTCTCGAACCTGTGGGCTCAGGCAATCCTCTCACTTCTGCCTCCCAAAGTGCTGGGGTAACAGGCATGAGCCACTGCGCCTGGCTAAATGTAATGGTTTAGTAATCTAAGTGCTAAAATGAATTTAATTAACCATAGCGATTGTGAAGTTTTAAAAAAGAAAGCACATCTATTCTACCTTTGCAGCAACATATGATGGTGTTGCTAGTTGTTTAGTTTTGCCGACTTGTAAGTAGTTAAGGAAAAAAAAGCCCATGCCTGGTTGTTTAATTTGTTTGTTTGTTTTTTGGTAAAGATACAAAGGTATGTGTTGTGATTGTTGGGCACTTGAGTTATGACTAGTGGGGCAGAGGAACTTTGATTGTGCTCAGTTTAAATTTGCATAGCCACATATGGCTAGTGTCTACTGTACCGGACAGCATCACGGTCACAGTTTGCTCTCATTTGGCCTGGCCTTGGAGATCTAGTGTTTTCCAGAGAGTCAGGATTCCTTCTGCCCCTCTAGAACTGTCAGGTTTGGGACTGGAGGTCTGGAGAGGGGACAGGATGAACTCAAGCCTGCCACTCAGGCCCTTACTTCACCTTGGGCTCTCAGATGGCCTGCAGGCTGGACCTGTACTCCGAGGCCAGTCCTGGCAGTCTTAGGGTGTTTGGAGCCTGAAGCCTCCTTCCGAGAACACTAGAGGAGTTTTGAAGTCCAGAGTCGTCAATAGGCATTATGTGCTCTAACCCTGGGAAGCACAGTCACCGTTACGTTTGGGTTCAATGAGAGGGCAGGACTGCCTTCTCTGCCTTCCCTTTGCACATCTAAGCCCAGCCAATCAGCACTGCTCTCAGGGTTTGTAAAGGAACTCAAGCATTTATGACCTTCAGACTGATGGTACTGCAGGCCCAGGCACAGAATTCCCAGTCTCTTTTGCTTACTGTTTTGGGTCAGCATATCAGAGATTTGCCAAAACAGGCTTCTCTGTATGGGTAAAAACTGTCTATTGACCTTAATTCCTCTTATCAAGTGTTCCACCCACTCTGTGCAGATTCTGATACAAAGTGCAATGATGTGCACTCCTGACGGTGGGGCTTCTGTGTGGTGCTCTCCACCATCATGCATGACTACATAGAGGAGGTATGAAGGTGGGAAAGCGATTTGGCAGATTTGTGTACTATAGAATATGGTGAACCATCTGCCAATGTTACCTGTTTATTGTCTTCCAGGAAATCAAAGATTGGTGTGGCGTTGCTTTGACAAAAGCACCTCCCTGTTGTCTTCACAGAGATCTCGCTGAAGAATAGTCTCCAAGGAACATCTGTCTCCCCATATCTCTGTTAACGTTCATTAGCAGATATTTTTAATGACTGGAAGAGCATCGACCACAGTTGTGCGTGGCCTGTTCCAGGCAGCCGGGTGAAGTTTTCTTCCGGTTGTTCCCCTAGCTCTGTTGTGGAAGCAGCTCTCTCTGTTGGGTGAGCGTTCATTCATGAAGCCCTTTCCTGAGCCAGCTGAGGAGGCTTAGGCCTCCTGCAGCCTGTGACATGGAAGCTTTGGAGGTGGATGATATCAGCCCGGCCTTAGAAGTCACAGAGGATTTCTTCAGCACTTTGGACAGTAAGCTAGAGAAGGTTGTGCAGCAAGCAGAGGTGTATGGGATCCAGGAAGTCCCTGAACTGGTAGGGCATGAGGTGCTCAGTGACATTACTGACAATGGTGCTGTGAGAAATGCCGCCTCCCTGGGCAAGGGAGGCACGGTTTGGGACCACTGTAAGAGCAGGCTCTTCGAAACCAGAGCTCAAAATGTCTTCCCTGCGAAAGAGCAGTTTATGGTCCAGAGAGGGACAGCCCCAGATAATCTCTCCTGGATGGAACAAAAGGAAGCATCAACCTTTAATTTCTTCAACATCTGTCAGCGTCGGAAGGACAGACCTCGTTCAGTGAACGACTTACTGGATGAGACCTCCACTTTCAAGCCAGGGCATGCTCGGTCAAGGTCAGATATTACCCAGGTGGACTGGAGGGTGGTCCTCAAAACCCCGCCGCTACAGCAGCCCCAGCCGTCCCTTCAGGGCCCTCACGTCACCAGGCCATCTTTTCTGTTGCCCTCACCAAATAAGGTAGAAGATGCTCAAGGAAATACCGGTATGCTTTTAAACTTTATTCATTGACGTTCTTTTTGCTGCTGTCACTCGCATACGGGGTGTTTTTCTGTCTGACTTCTGTTGAGTGATTGTCGATGTTTCCTTTGTCTCTCTTCCGTGTGTCTCACGAGGGCCTGCTCTCCAGTGTCCGTGTCTGGCCTTGGTTGCTGATGCTCCCTCTTCCATTTACTTCTGCTGTTTACTGTACCTCAAGCTGACCATCTCGTTATCTTCTTAAGGGGTGTTTAGTGAAAAGACACCTCTGGTTAATTCTGCCTTTCTAGTCTTATGTGTTGGAATCCGAGTATTCTCACTTATTGTAGTATCTTCCTTTGCACTTGTATGATACTGCTTATTCACATTAGCAGATGATTACTGTGTCACACGTTGGGCTTAGCCTTTGAATGCCACGAAGAATTCAAAGACTGGTGAGCACACAGTCCCTGCCCTAAAGAACTTCTCATATAACTGAGGAACTTGACACTAGGAAAGACGCAAAAAGGCACCCAGTCATGAAAGGTGGCAGGTGGCCACCTGTGGTATTTGTGAGGGAAATTTTGTGCTACTGTACATGAGTGAGTGGCAGCAGCTGCAAAAGGACAGGGGAGGGGGAAGACACTGTGGGCTGGACTTGTCAGTAAGGTCTGGCCGGAGGACTTGGAACTCGAGCCGAACCTGGAAGGACACTAAGATGCAGAAGGAGAGTCATAGGAGAGGACACATGGGTAGGATTATGGTGGGACAAAGGTGAGGAGATGGGTGCACAGAGGTGAACAAGCAGACCCTGTGAGTAGAGCAGAGGACCCCATGGCGAGCGGTGGGAGGATGGGGTGGACCTGTGATGCTGCTGCAGAGGCGTGGTTTTGAGGACCACCCTGAGGTTCACGTGGGTCATTTCTGACATTGACCGAGCATGCGCCACCTGGAAAGCGGGGGTCTCATCTGGCAAGTCATTCACAGAGGTTTGGACTTCATGGTGGAGGGCCTTAAATTTCTTTTCTCCTCATACTTTATACACATATATGTGCACATGAATATGTACTCATGTACTCATATATGAACTTGCTTTTCTGTGATACATAACAAACCATCTCCTCGTTTCCCCCAGTGTTTTCCTTCAGGATAATCTCATGTACACAGGCTGTCAGTTTTTATTACTGAAGATTTTTCAGTTAACCTGCTCAGCCTTTAATTTAGATGGCTTCTACTCCGTTAACTGGGAGACCATTTTTTGTACTTTACTGCTATTTTAGTATTAGTTCAATCTCTATCAATCATTGCTTGGTATTCTACTGAACATTTCACATTTTAATTGCGAAACTGTGTTTATAAGTATAATCCGAGGCAAGGATATAGTTTACCATGCCTGTTAAGGAAATGCAGTGTTTCTGAAAATTCAGCCTTTTAAAATCCTTTTTTCCCCCATTTACATTCATGACACAAGTCTTTGTCTTCTCTCCTAGACTGTCACTTGTCTTCTGTAATATCTAGGCAAGGATGGTGACCATGGGAATAAAAAGAAAAGGACATTGTATGTATTTTTTTCTTTAAAAAAAAAATCCTTTCTTCAGTGACAGGGTCTTGATCTGTCATCCAGGCTGGCGCAGATCATAGCTCACTGCAGCCTCGACTTCCTGGGTTCAAGTGATTCCCCTGCCTTAGCCTCCCGGGTCACTGGGACTACAGACACATACTACCATGCTTGGCTATTTTTTTCTATTTTTTTTTTTTAGAGCTGAGGTCTTGTCAGCTTGGTCTTGAACTCCTGGCCTTAAGCAGTCCTCTTGGCTGAGCCTCCAAAGTAGATGGGATTAGAGGTATGAGCCGCCATGCCCAGCTAAGAAAAGGACATTATATATAGCACAGGACATGATGACCGATTAGACATTAAGGACATAAAGTAGCGGTGACCCCAGTGTCTAGCAGAATGGTAGTTTTATCTTGAGCTCACGTACAGACTGGTGTGCTCTGTCCTTAGCAAGTAGCCTCTGTAGTTTTTTTCTTTTAAATAGAGATGGGGTCTCACTGTGTTGCCCATGTGAGTCTTGAACTCCTTCCCTCAAGTGATCCTCCTGGCCTCCCACAGTGTGAGGGTTACAGGCATGAACCATTGTGCCTGCTGTCAGTAGCTTTGGTTTCTTAGAATTCATATAGATTTGTATCACCTAACCACTATAACCATTCTAAATCCCCAGTAGAGCCTAAGTTAAGAGGATGCCATCTTTCCAATTTTATTTTTCCTTTCTTGTTTTGATTTTAAGTGTAAGAACCAAACTTTCCTTAAACTCTCTAAAGCCTTGAACTTCTCCTTTGAGTGTTTGATAGAGCATGATTATTAGTTTTTAATTTTCAATGTTTAAAAAGAGTTTACTATTAATTTTTGTTGAAATATGAGAACTGAGTGGTATTTTGAAAAGTAAACTGTAATAAATAGCATTTGCAAGTCTTATTATAATACATCCTTGCCATCTTTTGGTCATCCATAAGATACATGTCCAGCCGGGCTCAGTGGCTCAGCCTGTAATCCCGCGCCTTTGGGAGGCTGAGGTGAGTGGATTGCCTGAGCCC